TGAGATGGGAACAGTCCATCTCCTTAAAAATCATAGTCCTTTAAAAGAACAGATGATCACAGAAAAAGAAAAGCCGCTTTTAAAAGATTGGATAATAATTCTGTAAAGGTTTGTAAGTTTGAATGTTAGGAAGTGAGACTGCCTGTGGAGCAGGGAGAGAGAGAGAGAGAGAGAGAGAGAGAGAGAGAGAGAGATTTTGTACATATTGAACCATGAACTTGTACTGATGAAAAGGATGGTGTGTGGCAGATTGTCTAGCCTCCTGACATTGAATCAGTCCCCTGAATTATGATTACATTCCCATAAGGTGAGTTGGTGGTTGCACTCCACATTTAATTGAGACTAGTAGGGAGTACTTCTGGGAAAGCACACTGTTTACCACATCTGTGTTTGCAAACATAAGTATTTACCAAGATCAGACCTGTCCCTGGTAAAGCAAACCCGGATCAGATATTTATACACATGCACAGGTGTGCAGCTTTGAGGGGGAAGATCCTCCATGCTATTTGCATGCATGACTGTCTAAGTGTGAAATTCTATTCACCAAAATCATTCCATTACTTCTGTTACAGCACTGGAAGAAAACTGTGGGAATCTGACAGTGTACACAAGCTATCATGAACTCCAATCAACGTTTATTTGGAGTGAGAATGAGAAAACCAAGACACATTCCATTTGAGGCTGTTTTGTTCAAAACCTTGAGGAAGGGGAGCTGGCCATCAGTGCAGCTGAGTTAAAAGCACTAGCAGGCTGAAATTCCTCAACAAATCTCTTGTGTATCTACACAAACAGCATAACTTTTGGAAGCAAATTGCCTAAGGTGAAGAAATCACTGTAGATGGTATAAGTTGCATGTAGAGTCACACTAAGTATGCAACAGTTGATGTCTATAGCGATTTTGTAACTTGAGACAATTCACCTCCAAAAGTTATGCCATTTGTATTACATTGAAGTATGTAGGCAAGAGGATTTTGGCCAATATAGCAACCCTAATGTGTGGGGAAAATTTATGCTGTTATGCTGTTACAATGTATATGTCTGTGGCAGTAGCAACGATCCATTGAGAACTGTGTAATACCACCCATATCATTGCCAGTTTCATGAGGCTTGTCCCAAATAGGGTCCCCATGTTCTAGAATGATTTTGTTCACTTTGGAGACATAGGCGAACAGTTTGCAAAGTAGGAGTGGGGTCTGCAGGGGTATTGTTGGCAGGGAGAGGAATCCTGGTGAGCCTTGGACTGCTCACTTTATTGTTCACATTGTTGTCAGACACTTTTCACATTGGCAAACCAAATTAGGAACTGCACATGCAGTGTCATCGAACCTATCAACATGAATTTGACCCAACTCTGGGAGGCAGTGGGAGACAGGAGGGCCTGGCGTGCTCTGGTCCATGGAGTCACGAAGAGTCGGACACGATTTATCAACTAAACAACAACAACAGGGTTTTAAATCTTGAGCTAAGTCTTGGTGGTTTGTGGCAACAAAACATATTTAAAGGGAGTTTGTGGTAAAGTTTTAGAACTGCTGTCATAATTTATTCTCATTTTAGTTGGTTAGTTTCTCAATTATTGAGCAACTTTGGGCCACTTAGTTCAGAGAAAGGCAGCATATAACATAAAATAATTCCAATTTCCAAGACTTCTGTGGAATCCCTTTTCTCACTGGAAAGTAATTAGGGGCTGCAGACTGGGTTAATAATTATAGAAAATCGCAACTGCATGATGATTCTGGTACTTGGGGCAAATGTAACGTCTCCCACACACTCCACCCTGTGGCATGAGCCCAAATGTTGCATTAAAAAAATTAGGAAAATATGATATCCCTCAAAAAGCAACAAAAAGTGTATGTTTTTTTAAAAAATAGACATTCCTACCTATTTTCTTAGGCCAGAAGATTCACTTTCAGATTTCAGTGCCTTCTAAATGTTGGTGCCCTGAAGCAAAACACTGGTTGCTGCTCTCTGGTTACTGCCATGTATTCTTCCATTCCGTGTAGGCATCTAAATCATGTTGTGGAACATGATGCCAGGTAGCAAAACTTGTACACATATGTGGAAGGAAAATGCACGGTTATATTGCAGCGGTGCACATTGTGCAGCTTTAGCCCCCTTCCTGGAAATAATCCTGTGGACACCCATGCATCTGATCTAGGCATACTGTAAGAAAGCAGGCATTTCACTACTGTTTCTCTCAGCAGAATGTGCAGCTGCAGCTTTTGTTCTTGCTAAGTGAATTACCAGACAGAGATGGCTTTAAGGCTGTTTCATTAAACATTTCAGCTTCCGCCTTTCCCACTCAATAACGCTATTTGGATAAAGAATGCTCTGAGCCATAGTACTAGTTCAAGGAATGCTGTTTAAGAATTCTAAGGGTAGTACCTACAAGAGCATTTTTTTTTAAAAAAATCAAAATTAAAGGCTTGATCATAACTAAGGTGCGAATGCTATACCCACTTGCAAAGGGTCATTCTGTGTACTTAGACTGAACAGATGTTATAGAATTCCACTCTGTTCCAGGTTCTTTGATTTGTAGTTTCCAAATCAAGCATGAGCAACTTTGTAGGGTCTAAGGGCCATATTTTTGACTTCCCCCTTGCCCTTGGAAGGTTTAATCCTCCTTTGATGCCCCCAACATATTTGAAAAGAGCTTGCTGAATAGGTAAACCTCGCAGACCTCACCCACAACCACTCTCTAAGAGCGTGGCTACCTTAAGGGGAAAAAAGTTGCATTTCAATCGGGGTTAACATGTTTTATAGCAATTTTTAAAAAGATGACTACATGATGCACAAGGGATCTCTGATTTTCCCCCCCCAGGAAGAAGAGTTTTTGGTTGGAAAATGAGGTGTTTTACTAAGTGTCAAGAGAGTTGCTTATTTAACTTGCTTGTGTAATTGATTTAGTTTGAATCGTTTTGGCATATGAGAACACCTTGTAGTTTAACAAAGTGTGAGAGAAGCAAATGGGAAAACCTGAGATGCAGCTTCCCAGCAGGAAAAAAACAGTTACAAGCAATTTAATACACTGCAATGAAAGCTGAAATCTTGTTGCCTTAATTCACACTGATTCTGATTCGTCAAACTGAGAGCAGCATTGGTGGTCATCTAAGAGACAGAAAATGTACAGTATATGGTGAGGCAGCCTCATCTCTTGCCATAACAATGGCAATGACTATAGAAGTGCCTCAGCACTAATGGGAGCGGGATATAAATTGAAGAATTAAATAAGTAAATATTAAAAAGATAGCTCATTTCATATTGTGTCCCCTGCCACCTCCTGGACCTATTAACTGCAGCAGTTCCTCAGATAAATTTTTCACCTCTGTGGTCTCGGGGTTCATTGCACCTTCAGCTTTTTAATTCTATTTCTATTTTTGCAACCTGCAATATCAGAGTCACAACATGATTGTGAACCTGGTTGCCAGAAAGCTGGAAATCTAATGGACAACATTCCTTATGATGGCCCATGGATGCTTGTCGGCTTGACCTGGACAAGCAATCTGAAGAATTTTTAAAATTTAATCTAATTTTATTGAAGAAATAATTTTATACCTTCAAAAACATGCATTTAATACATTAACATACATCTCCCACACACTATAATGCAACTGGTGCTCCCCATAAACATCTGGATATTAACTAGTTAATTACCTTCCACCCCCTTACACTTTCATATTAATCAACATACCCTTATTACAAAAATAAAATAAAAATAATAATGTGTCTTGGGCTGGGGTTTGTCCTTTCCCTTTTACAAAAACATGCCTTATAAATATATCCCTAGTATCAATAAACTCATTAATTATTAATAATCCTTTTATTTTCACTTCACATTTCAATTTGTCATTAACAGCTAAAGTCCACATTTCTTTATATAATTCTTCCATATGACTATTATAAGTCATCTGTCACGTTCCTGCCTGTCCGTTGGTTGTTTCACCAAGCAAAGGCACAACCTATGTGTTATTCAGCTGCCATCAGTTGATTGCATCAACTTTATTTACTATTAATGACGGAGGTCCAGGCAACGTATCATTTAAGAACCAAGTAGAAATTGTTTATTGTTACAGGTGATAACAGTTCAGTCAATGTTGTTAACTCTCAACTAAACAACCTTCTCTTCACTCTCAACTGCCTACTCTCCCTTTGTTTTCTTCTGTTCCACCTAACTACACCCCTCACCAACTCCTATTGATGCATGCAAATCTCTACATAAATATTAATGGGCATGGTGAACGCTACAGTGTCCAGATTGTATAATATTTTATCTTGGCTGTTTAGCTGGATTCTTGTCCTGTAGTTCCCCCCCCAACCCCAGAATGGCCACTTTTAGATCATGTGTAGAATGTCCTGATAAATTAAAATGATGTGAAACGGGTTTCTCTCTGTTGACATTCCTGGTGTACATTTGTGTACATGAATTCTTCTCCACAGAGATTGTCCTGTTTGTCTTATGTAGAATGCAGGTGGGCATTGCTGACAAATGATAGCATAAATAACATTGGTAGAGGAAGAGGAAAATGTACCTTTGACATTGTGTGTGACATTGTTAGGTCCAGTAATTGTGTGGCCAGAAATAAATGTGGAAACAGAGTTGGCATCTAGGTTTATAGCAGGGTTTCTTTCCTTCCTCTGTGTCAGTGTTGAGTAGTCCATTGTATGTCAGTAGTTGTTTGATATTGGAGGGTTGTCTGTACGCAAGTACAGGTCTGCCACCAAAGGCTTGGGAAAGAGAAGCATTGTTGTTGAGGATGGGTTGAAGAACACCTATGATGCATGTGAGTGGTCTCAATTGTAGACTAAAAGTGATCACTAGTGGTGTTCGGTCATTTCCTCTTCTGGGTCTGTCTTACAGTAGGTCCTACATCCATATTTTTCTAATTCCGGGGAATTAGCACAATGGTGCCTTTTCCCCCACTTGCTATAGCAGGGGAATAGGAGAGTGTTCCAGTGAGACTGGAGTTGACAAAGTTCAAAATTTCTGATAAACCTGGAGGTTCCTCTTTGGATTAAGCATTCATAGAAATAGAAATGGATATTTGATCAAACTTGATAGAGCACTGTCTGCAGTGGCAAAGAACCTTGCTCAGCTCTTCCCACTCTTCTGGGAAGGAAAAGAAAAAATAGTGATTCCCAATACGTTGTAATAACAATAACCACCACTCCCCAATGGAATAAAATGCTTCAATCACCTCAAGAACTTTCGACCATTCTGTTTCCAAAGAAGTACGTAGTCATGTTAGTGTGTATCGGGATGCTGACAAAATTAAAGGGGGAAAAACAGGTGGGGTAAGGGAGGACAAAATACTGTGGCATCTTAAAGGCCTGCAGATTTATTTTAGTGTGAGTTTTCATGGATCGAAATCCACTTTCATTGTACAATTTAATTGGCAATCTAAATACAGAAAAATGTTCTTTTTTCCTACTTCTCTGACCAACGTGCAGGGATAGGAAACAGCTATAACGTATTTCTACAATGGGTACACCACACTATGGTTGTTCAGCTAACAGAGTTGTCCTACGTTAGGGGTAGAAAATGCAAGGGGTTTTGATGGCTTTTGTAATGAACTTCTGTTGGAGGGGTTCCCTGGCTAAGCTTAGCAGCATGGATTTTGCCTCTCCTTAGAAAATAGTTCATTCCCAGAAAGGCTGGGAGAAGGACAAGAGGCCTTGCTGATTTCAGAAAAGGGGGAGACAAAAGTGGGAATGAGAAAATAAGGAGGCACACAGAGAGCAGGAAGAACTCTGGTTGGGTGTCCAGAACCCTTTATTACATAAAAACAGAACTGTCTTCAAACAAAATAAAAAACAAAAACAAAAACTGTGAAATGCCCCCCAATGAGTCGGATTACAAGTGACAAAATGATTTGATATTGTCCCTTTCCAGGCAGGAAAAGGGCTCAGTGCCTGTTGCATGCTTTACCTTCAGAAACCACAACTTCCTGATGAATCCACGATCCTCTGCTTTTAGGGCAACACATTTGTAGGAGCAGCGAGCATTCAAAGAGGAAACCAAAGGAAGTCAGCAGTGGCCCGTGGCCATGTAGATATCCCTAGAGAGAGGTCTTTGCAGAACAAGACTCCACTCGGTCCTCCTGGGCCACTTCCATTCTCCAGGATAGGCTGCCTCTTCACCACTCCTGCTTGCCCCTCCTCTCTTTCCTGACCCCACCTGTTGCCCTGTGTTGCTTTGCTGAGAGTGTGTGTTTCATTCAGTAGAAAGACTGAGAGTTCAGTCTGCCACTGAACCTCAAGGCATATTCTCTTTTGCATCTTTTAAGAGGCGAGAAATGCAATGGTTGGGTATCAGCTGCTGGGAAAGACACATAGGAAGGTGAGTGGCAGTATATTGGGGGGGGGGAATACCTGCCCTCTCCTTTTACTGTACAGTAAATACAGTGGGACTCTGAACATGAGAGGGAGTGGCACACTCTGGGGCCCTTGGCCTGCATACCTGGACAAGCCAGGTAAGCACTGGACAGCCTCATTCTGATGGGGGGGAAGAGAGGCACATGCATATTGTGGGAGCTTTGGCCATCAGGCACAGAAGACATTGTAAGGCTTATGGCTGAGGAAAACGGCTGCTGGGCTATAAGAGAATCAGGAGCAAGGGCTTGATGTGGGAGAGTGAAAAAAGATTGCCGAGGATTGCACAGTCACCTCCCTCCCCCCATCTCCTGCATCTGTCTGGATTTCATCCTATTCTTATCACGTGTCTCTGGCTTCTGCTCATCCCCACGCCCTGGCTGGCAGATCTGTGGCTGGCATAGAGGAATGGATCCCCTTGCCTTGTTTTAGAAAGTGGCTGTGGACTTTATACAAAAGTACTTCTGTTATAAATTCAGCTGCTTGCTGGAATAAAAATTAATCTTTGTAATCCTGAGGGTTGCAGCTTCCACCTGTGGCCCTACCTGGCAACTCACTCCATCTTTCCCAGTGCGAACATCTGGAACTGCATGCCACTGGGAATTAGGAGGGATCAGAGAGGACGGTAGTTTCTTTCTCTAAAGACAGAAATCTTGTGCTGAATAATTTGATAAAATGTCACAATAACTCTTGAGCTTCTTGTCAAGTACTCTTCTTAGGGGGCCTGCTTAGCACTCTGGCAATGCTGCAGCCCCTCTTTTCCTGGGCAGTTCCCTCATCTCTTCTGCATCCATGTAGAAGCAGTGCACGACCACTTGTTGTGAGCAGTGGAACAGAACAATCAAAGGAACTACTAGGTACAGATCATAAAGCTGGCCAAACCCATCTGGAGTTCCCAGCCACAATTCAGCACCTGTTTCTTCTTCTTAAAAATAAGAAACTGTAAACACAACTGTTTAAAATAAGAAACTGACTTTTACAGGTGCACTGGTTCAAATGCCAGGCCTGATTCTCCCACCCCACCCCACTCCCTTGTTTAAAAAAGACTGATAACAAAAGTCCTCATTCCTTGAAGCACATGTAACAAACAGATAGAAAAGATCTGATGCTGGGGATGAGGTTCTCCTTGGAACGTTCATTTGGTTTTGTTTTTCCCTACAGGGCCCTTAGGAAATACCTGAGATGCAGGAGGTGTTCCGTTATTTGATCCACATCTTGTGCCAGGGGCTGCTCTCCATGCTGGGAATGACAGCAGAATCCCCAACCCTCCCCCTCCCCCAAGAAAACGTGAGCAAATGCGGAGTTCAGAAGGGCCCCATCATGTGTCCAAGATCTCCCGGGTAGGAGATTGCTCATGAGAGATGCCTTGGGTACTGTGGACAGTTTGGTTGTGGGACACAGAGTTCTGCTGCAACTCAAGTGCAATAGCATTTTGTGGAAATTCCTTCACTTGCTTCTTGTACTCAAGGAAAGTGCAGGCCTTGGTGGCAATGGCGATGATGTTCTTGCCAATAAAGATGGTGGAGACCCTGCTGTCTTGGAACAGGACCATGTTAATTGCCCGGATGAATATGGTGACAATGTTGATGGTCACCAGGCTCAGGACAGGGTAGAGCATCATTTTTTGGGGAGCTATGTGCTCGCCTTGCATGCTAATCTCACTGAGAGAAACACAAGGCAGGATCAGGAGCAGAATGTAGCAATAGAAGAACATGAGCCCTTCTGCCCAGATGGGTAACCCAGTCTTGTTTGGCTCCCACAAATTGGCCTGGATGTCCAAAATATCCAGCAGGTCTAAGGCCACCCAGAAGAGACGCCCTCGCAAATCCTCTTTCTTCCGGAAGGTGCGTATATATTCCATGCTATCCAAGGCCACAAGCACCAGATACAGCCCTGGTACACAGATGGAGAGAAGCAAGGTCAGAGCCTTTCTGGCGACAGTCTCCAGGTTCCTTTTATCAGCCTTGTAGTTTTGGAATATAAAATACAGTTTGATTTCCAGCACAAAGATGTAGAGGAACCAAAGGATCATCGCATAGCCACGCTTGGCTGTCTTCACCTCAGCCCCCACCCAGACAGCTACATAGCGCAGCACGATCAGAAAGCAGATGTCTCCCACCAATACGATGATGCAGACACCAATCTTCCGGGGGCCTTGGTTTTGCTCCACAAGATATGCATCCATGAATGCCATGCTGGTCATGATAACAATAGTGGTGAGACATACATGTCGCTTGTCTGGGGGTGGAAGCACCATGTTTAGATGATCAAACCTCCTACCTTCTTCTTCTGGCCTCCTTGTGTTGTTACAAGTGCAGGCCTACATTTGTCACTGATGGTTCCCAGCCATTGGGCATCAGTACTCCTTAGTTAATAAACAAGATCAGACAGGAAGATGACCCAGATATTTCATGTAATAATCTCAGGCTCCTGTAGCCCAGAAGCAAACTTAGCACAATCAACCATCCAGAAGACTTGAATGTATCTGGAGCAGGATTCCTACATAGAAGATCCTCAGACAAATCCTCCAGGGCAATCCACTGGAGTTCCCTTCTGCCGAAGGCTATTCTCAATGTCTTTGACAGTATATTGGATAAAGCCTCTCTCTTTCTTTCAGCTATGATTGTCTTTCTTGTTAATTTCCTTCTTGGGTGATGGTGAAGGCTGACCTGTTAGTCACCTGTCTTTTGGACTCTCAGGCAGCAGTTCATGCAGATACTTGATAATCATAAAAATCATCAGGCAGCCAGATCAGGGTGATAGAGGAAGATCAGGATGAAATGTGTTACTTCCCCAAATGATAATTGATTCAACTGCAGCTGGAGGCAGGACTGGCATCTGCCCAGAGTAGCCTTTCTCTAGGGACTCCTTCTGCATCTTCTGCCACAAACTTATCTGGAGCAGGATCCATAGTGAACAATGCTTGCATTTTCAAGTGAGGGTTCTCCTTATCCACAGTCTCCTTCCTGGTGAGATCTACTCTGATCTGGAAAAGACAAAAGAAAAGTCAGTCTGCATATCCCTCCTGTTGTTCATCAGTGCATTTGAGACTGCAGTTTCCCTTTAGTGACTTATCTTGTGCTTTTTGGGGCTGGTGGTTTGTTTTGCTTTGGTCTGAAGAGTGGTAAGCAGATTCCTACACTCTGATTATACTCTTGAGGCAAGAAGTGGAGAATGCTTGCATTTAAAGGAGATGTCTGAGGTATTCTTCTAGAAGGACCTGGGACAGGAGTAATAGCAGGTTTTAGTGGATGGATTAACAGCAGATCTTCAGTTACAGGTTATCTCATTCCTGTAATTAAGTTACTTTGGGGGTGAAGTACAACAAAGGCACATTTTAAAAGCAGTACAATGAATGGAATCAAAATTACTTTATTGATGTACTCAGTAACAGTTCTGCTAGTTGTTCAACAATGATTATGGCACTGTATGGCAGTGGTGAACAGTACAGTCTTGTCATCTTCCAGCACCTGCTGTCTAAGAAGACTGCTTCATTCTGCTTAATGACAGACCTAAAAGCTTGAGGCTGAGACAAAAATGACAACATGGCAAAACATACCTAGAGTTGGATTCAGACTTAGTTCTGATTATAATGAAAGGGGATAATGTTAATCAAATCCCAAATGGCTTTAGGAAGTAGCAGGAATTATCATCCTGATTGACATTTAGCCGAGCCACATGTTGCATGAGTGCCTCACCTGAGAAGTCTATCAGAAGGCACATTTTTGTTAGTGTTATTTTATGAAAATGTAACTCAGATTGGATGCTGTAAAGAAACTGGAAAGGAGGGGATGATAGGTTCCAGGCAGTCCATTAAATCGAGACTTATGTTGACTGTGAAAAGGCAGGTGGGAGGTGAAAGGAAGAGAAGCAACTGACTGATTGCCCATTGGTTGAGGAGATTGGAATATTATCTTGCTGTGGAGGAATGTCAAAGATTATAAAACATCCTTTCTACCTAGGGAAATAATAATGATAATAATGATCATGATAATAATCATTATCATGATCATTATTATTATTATGGAAATAAATGTGGAAAAGCCCAACCGGACATAACCAAAATGCCCCATGGATTAAAGACATTTGTAAAGAAACTCAAGGAAAACAAATGGATGATATTGTAATAGCAATTGAAATGATTAAGAGGCAAGTAAAGGATCTGAAAAATTGTAGTGCACCTGGTCCAGATGAGCTGCATAGATTTTGGTTAAAGCATCTATCAAGCCTCCATCAATGTATAGCAGTGCAATTTAACCACTTCAAAATTCTACAACTGAAGACTGAATGAAAGGCTGCACATTTCTGATAATAAAAGATCGTCAAAAGGGCAATGAACCCATTAATTATTGACCAATTACATGCCTTCCAACAATGTTCAAGCTCCTCACAGGACTACTTGCAAGATCTATATATAAATACTTAACTGAAAACTCCCTATATCCAACTGAACAGAAAGGGAACTTTAAGATCAACTGCTTATTGATAAAATGATACTAAAGAATGCAAAAAGATGAAAAACAAACCTTAACATGGCCTGGATAGACTATAAAAAGGCGTTTGTCTCATTACCACACAGCTAGATTAACACATGCCTAAAATGTTTGGGATTAGTAAAAGCATTCAGAAGTTCCTCAAGAAAAACATGGAAAAATGGAAAACCATCTTAATGGCCCATGGTGAAGAAACTGGGGAAGTTAACATCTAAAGAGGAATGTTTCAGGGGGATTCTTTGTCACCACTGCTGCTTAACATCTCACTAATCCCCATGTCAATAATTTTAAATAAAACTGGATTGGGCTACCATATTTCACAAGAAGATGGAAAAATCAATCATCTCTTATACGTGGATGACCTAAAACTATTTGCAAAAAGTTCCACAGAGATAGAATCACTGCTAAACACAGTGCAAATATTTAGTGAAGATATCCAAATGAAATTTGGAATTGACAAATGTGCAGCTCTGTCTATACACTGTGGCAAGATCCAAAATCTAGATGGAATTGAGTTTAAAAATGGCAATATTATAAAATCACTCTCAAGTAATGAAAATTATAAATACCTTGGAATACTAGGAGCAGACAACATCGTGCACACAAAAGTTAAAGAACTGACAGAAAGAGAATATATCAAAAGATTGGGGAGAATTTTAAAATCAAAATTAAATGGGAAGAAAACAATCAAAGCCATAAACACATGTGCCATTCCAGTAATACTATACCCAACTGGAATAATAGATTGGATTCAAAATGAGCTAGAAGAATTGGATCAAAAAACATAAAAACTAATGAACATGTATCACACACTACATCCAAAAAGCGATGTGGACAGATTATATTTACCACAAAAATTGGAGGCTGTGGATTACAGCAAATAGAGCAGGTAGACGAGGAAGAAAAAAAGCCTAAATGATTAAATCAGTACAGAGAAAAATTACTGTAAGCAGTGAAAATGGAGAATATTTTGAAAACAATAGAAACAAAGGCTCAATATAAGAAACAACAATTTGAAAAGAAATTAAACAGCTGGAAAAAAATAAGCCACTACATGGATAACACCTGAGAAATATTGATGGAAAGCATGATCATAATTCAGCATGGTCATGGCTAAAACTGGGGACGATTAAGAAATAAACAGAAGACTTGATTTTTGCTGCACAAGAACAAACACTCCAAACCAACATGATGAAAGCTAAGATCCAAGGAGTTAGTGCTAACAGAAAATGTCAACTCTGCCAAGAAAAAGATGAAACTATGT